AACACCAGGGATCTCCAGCAGCAGGAAGCTTCAATACAGATAGAACACCAGGGATCTCCAGCAGCAGGAAGATTCAATAGAGATAGAACACCAGGGATCTCCAGCAGCAGGAAGCTTCAATACAGATAGAACACCAGGGATCTCCAGCAGCAGGAAGCTTCAATACAGATAGAACACCAGGGATCTCCAGCAGCAGGAAGCTTCAATAGAGATAGAACACCAGGGATCTCCAGCAGCAGGAAGCTTCAATACAGATAGAACAGTAGGTTTTAAAGGGGCCTCAGCTCAGTGGACAGCCCTGGTAGCTGGAGACACTAGGCTTTAAAGGGGCCTCAGATCAGTGGACAGCCCTGGTAGCTGGAGACACTAGGCAGGTCTCCATCATTGCATCATGTGTAATAGAACGTTTTTACCTGTTCAACAGGTGTGGATTTCTATTCTGACAAATGAAGGTGGAAACAGTTTTTTTTTCAATAAATGATGATTGCCGAATACTTTTGCTATAAGCTCCATTACACATTTAATTCTAAATGCCTATTGCTTGCAAAATTATTTCAACAAAGAATTATGTTTATTTGCAGGACAAGGATTGTCCTGACTTTCAAGAATGCCTGAATTGCTGCGCCTTGCTTTTCTGGTTGGCTGGAAAGTTTCACCATGGCACAGACCATGGAATTCAAATCAAATCTAATCTAATTGTATTTGTCACATGCGCCGAGCACAACCAGTGTAGACTTTACCGTGAAATGCTTACTTACAAATCCTTAACCAACAATGAAGTTCAAGAAATAGAGTTAAGAAAATATTTACTAAATAAACTAAAGTAAAAAATAAAATAAAAAGTAACACAATAAAATAACGAGGCTATATACAGGGGTACTGGTACCGAGTCAATGTGCAGGGGAACAGATTAGTTGAGGTAATTTGTACATGTAGGTAGGGGTAAAGTGATTATGCATAAATAATAAACAGTGAGTAGCAGCAGTGAAAAACAAAGGGGGGGGGGGTGCATACCAGGCGGTGATGCAACCGGTCAGGATGCTCTCGATGGTACAGCTGTAGAACCTTTTGAGGATCTGAGGACCCATGACAAATCTTTTCAGTCTCCTGAGGGGGAATAGGTGTTGTCGTGCCCTCTTCATGACTGTCTTGGTGTGTTTGGACCATGATAGTTTGTTGGTGATGTGGACACCAAGGAACTTGAAACTCACGACAACAGAGTCAATTATTGCATTCTATACATGCTGGCTTTCGCTGGCTACCTGAGACATGAAACAGATAGGTGGGAGGGCATACAGGCTTTTGCTAATTTATTAATGCGCAATTTGCCTAAATGGGTAATGGAAACACTTCCACCACAAACATTTTATTCGACACTGTGTATATTTTCTGGGGGTGTGACGTCATTATGTCCAGTTGTTTTCATCGACACAAGATCAATGGAAACTCACCCTAGCAGACAATTGTCGCATCTGTTTTCTATGCAAAATGTCTAAATGTCGACAAAAGAAAAAGAGGGGGGACGGGGAACATATTGTACTGGAACATATTGTACTGCATGTGACACTGCCTCTGTTTCTACGATCAAGAATAACAGAACAGATCTGCATATATTTATTCATGGGTAAATCAGCAAAGTCAAACCCCGGAGAAGAGGGAGAAGGAACAATACAGCATTGTTTACAATCTTGTTTCCTAACTTCATTTTCATTCACAGAGCATGTCAGTCTGAGGCAACTCAATAGAAAGCACTTTCCTTAGACGCTAGCAGTCCACTTACATGGATTACTATAGAGCTACTAGGGTTGGGTGGTACACCGTTTATATTTCAAAATATCCTTGGTATGATTTTCCAATACCGTAAATACTGTTTCGTAATACATTTTTAATATTTGTACTTTTTAAATAAATACCTGCAGTCAACTTGTGCACAAGCAGATCGCGTTCATCATTTCGCCTGTTAGATAATTTTTCATAATGAATCTTACCGGTACTAGTTTCACAAAGCAGCTGTTTGAGTCAGTCACGTTTGTTTACATAGAAGCACAACAAGCAGAAGTCTAGACTGTTCTCTCTGCTACCAAGCCATACGATTGCTAAATATACTGTACAAAAATATCAATGCAACATGTAAAGTGTTGGTCCCATGTTTCATGAACTGAAATAAAAGATCCCAGAAATGTTCCATACGCACAAAAAGCTTATTTCTCTCAAATTTTGGGCAGGATCAAGCTTCTTGGTAACAACAGCAGAGACAATCCCCTCCTGGATTAAGATCCCTGCTGTTTTATAGTGGGTTCTGTGCCTTATGAGCTGGGTTGTCTGTCTTAGTAGTAAATGTTTCGGTACCGGGATTCATTAATACTGTTTAACATTCTGAGTGAGAGAGAGAGAGAGAGTAGAAGTGAGAGAGAGGAGAGAGAGAGAGAGAGAGAGAGAGAGAGAGAGAGAGAGAGAGAGAGAGATAGAGAATATGCACAAAAAGCTTATTTCTCTCAAATATTGGGCAGGATCAAGCTTCTTGGTAACAACAGCAGAGACAATCCCCTCCTGGATTAAGATCCCTGCTGTCTTATAGTTGTTTCTGTGCCTTATGAGCTGGGTTGTCTGTCTTAGTAGTAAATGTTTGCATGCATACGTTAGCATTGACCTAGTATTCAGTACCGGGATTCATTAATACTTGTTAGCATTTTGTTTACTATTCTTGTAAGTGACATATTTTAATAAATTTTTTTGTACGTACACAAAATAATTTGCGCCCCTTGTGTGCACTACTGGTAAGACCATATATCCTGGGATGGCACAGGCACAGTATGAAGGCACGGACATCTGGATGCCGCCCTCATTTGATTTTACTTCAAATTCCACCTCACTAAAGGGGTTTGGTTCAGTTGTTTTTTGGGTTCTATTGCCTAGGCAACATAGACAGCCAACCAGGTTTACAGTTTTTCTCAATTGCTAAAACACTAAACCCTATTGTCTGAACCAAATGCTCAGTTGCCTGAACCCACTGATTGAATCAATCACTCTTTTGGCAAAACCATAAGCACTTTTCACCTGTTTAGACATAACTTGCCAACACATTTTCATTGTGATGCACCCGTGCTGCATAATGGTGAGCACAGGTGACAAAAGTCAAACACAATTAGAGCACAGGTTTTACCACTTGAACACAACAACTAAAAATTGATCACACTTGTGGCTAATGATGTGAGGGAACATATACAGTAAGCCAGTTCAGAGAGCACTGGTTTGTGAGGCCCTACAATGGATAGAAATCTGAGAGGAAGAGTTCGTGTGAGAGGAGGTCGAGGTGGTCGAGGTGGTCAGCGAAGACAAAGAACAGTAATATCTGATGAAATCAGAGCTACTGTGATTGACCATGTTCTTGTCCATGGTATGAGCATGAGGGAGGCTGGACAAAGGGTACAACCAAACATCAGTAGATTCACTGTGTCCACCATAATCCGAAGATTTAGAGAAGAGAACAGGTAATTACCTTTTTTTGACATTATAGTACAGTATGTAAATGTTGAGAGCAATTACTGTATGACATACTATATACTGTACCACAGTATACTGTAAGTAAATATATGTTTCAGTACATCACTGTACCCAATGTACTGTAGTATTGTAATGGAGGGTTGGTCTAAACTGTTTGTAGGCCTAGTATTCCATGTATATTTTTTGTAACTCCATGTTCTCTTTTTGTAGAATTGAAAGACTTGCCACATGGGGGTGGGAGGACAGGTATGTTCTCCCCACACCAAGAGACCCTAATTGTTGATATGGTCCGTGAGAACAATGCCATTAAACTGAGCGAAATTCAGCAGAAGCTCATTGAGGACCATTTACATTTTGAGGGTATCAACAGTGTCAGCCTCTCTACTGTTGATCGTGTCCTCAAGCGCAACAGACTGCGCATGAAACAGCTATACAGAGTGCCCTTTGATCGCAACTCAGACAGAGTCAAAGAGCAAAGATTCCAGTATGTACAGGTTGGCATATATCCAGACACATTCAATGTTGATTACTCTAAGTAGTGATTTACTGTAGTGGCCTAAATCACTTTTTCCGTATCACTTACAAAACTATATCTATTTCTACAGAGGGTTTTTCAACTGGATGCAATGGAAAGACCCCATCAATACATCTACATGGATGAAGCTGGGTTTAAGGAGAGGCCATAATGTGATTGGCCATCGGGCCATTGTTGGTGTTCCTGGGCAGCGTGGTGGCAATGTCACATTATGTGCTGCCATCAGCAATCATGGGGTTGTACACCATCATGCCAACCTGGGGCCCTACAACACTCACCAGCTCCTCATTTTCCTCAATCACATGCGAGATGCTTTGTTAGGGCAGCAGGATGAGCATCCCATCTATGTTGTTGTTTGGGACAATGTGAGTTTTCACAGAGCCCTCCAGGTTAGAGAGTGGTACAATATGAACCAAGGTTTTATCAATCTTTGCCTTCCACCGTACTCCCCTTTCCTAAACCCCATTGAGGAATTATTCTCCTCATGGCGGTGGAAGGTATATGAACGCCAACCTTACACCAGGGTAAATCTCCTGCAAGCCATGGGACTTGCCTGTGGTGACATAGGTGTGGAGGCATGCCAAGCCTGGATACGGCATGCCAGGGGTTTTTTCCCCCGTTGCCTGGCCAGACAAAATGTGGCCTGTGATGTGGATGAAGTCCTGTGGCCTGACCCAGTACGGAGACATGATGCTGTGGCTGAGTAATGCACTTATTTGTAGATAAGAGAGAGAGAGGAGAGAGAAAGTGTGATAGAAGAGAGATCGCAGAGGAGAGAGAGGAGAGATGAAGAGAAGAGATAGCAGAACCAGAGAGAATAGAGAGAAGAGAGTCTACTTCCTCCTTTTCTGATCTTCTCTAGCCTCTCGTAATAAGTCTGCTATATCCTCTCTCTTCTCGATTCCCTACTTAAAATATCATGCTGTTTTATAAGCAGCTGTGGAAACCTGTTTCATCTCTATTATTTCCGGCCCACTTCAGTCTGAAACTTCACGTATTTGCGGAGAGTGGAGAGGGGGGGAATGTGATTGCCGTCGGTAACACTCCTCACAAGAGGCCCTGTCGTGATGGAAAGCTTCCCACTTCAATTACCAACCATCTCACTAGTTTCACTCTGTTCTGCTTTATCTGGTCACACTGCGTACTAGGGCATCATACATCTCTATTGTTTTTCTGGTCACACTGCGTACTAGGGCAAAATACATTTCTATTCAAGAGGCAAAAAACTGCAGCAGCGCCGGTAATATCCAATTTAGATAGGAGGAGGCAGAGAGGATCTGGTTTCTGTGGCTGTATAATATCACGCTACATGGAGCGTAGCATTATGGAGGCTGAATAAAAAATACATTTATGGTAAAAATTCAATCAGAAGCCATGCAGTCGTCATTTATCTGAAGGGAAACTTCTAGCAATTAGTAACGCTTTAATACCAATTAGAAACACAGAACGCAAAAACTGTGTCCTGTAAATAGAGAAACACAAAATGCAGAAAGAAAAAACCTGTTCCTTTAATGGACATCAAAGCAGTGGTGCTGAAATGACCTCTTTATAAACGCATGGTGGTGGTCGCCTTCATCATAAAGCCAAGCCAGGAATTCCCAGTTGGTATAAAGACAATTATGGTAATGAATGGTTTACTTTCCTTAATATCCCTTACTGCCATCCGTCTGTTCATCGTCCTTCCTTCCTTCCTTCCTTCCTTCCTTCCTTCCTTCCTTCCTTCCTTCCTTCCTTCCTTCCTTCCTTCCTTCCTTCCTTCCTTCCTTCCTTCCTTCCTTCCTTCCTTCCTTCCTTCCTTCCTTTTTTCCTTCCTTCCTTTACGATCTGTAACGTGTTTCTGTGCATGGTCCTTGCTCATTTGTAGCATTACATGGCGACTGCGTAAAAATTGCTTAACCCTTGCCCTAACCCTAACCTTAATCCTTGCCCTAATTTTTATTCTAAACCTAACCCTAACTGTAACCTTAGCAAGCAGTTGCTTATCAACAGATAGTTTGTTGATAGTGTGACCCTCTATAGACATCTACAGATTGACTTTCCGGACTATCCAAATGAAGTGGGATTTGACTATATTATTTCTGATATAACGAGCTACCTAATATCCTGATGCTCACACAGCTTCCTGTGTCAATCAAGATGTACACAAGGTCCAGGAACTATTAAAGGCTGTATAAATACATAACATCTTGTGTTACGACACACACACATGCAACCAAGGACACACACTTTACCCCCTGCGCATCTCCAGATAACAAATCCCAAAAGCAGTTATCTCAGTAAATCAACTGTAAACCAGAAACTCAGGAGAGTACTCTGATGAAACCCAATAACAAACAACCCCTTTCTTAAACCACTAACTAAATACACATTTAACCAAAACATCCAACTAAATACCAGACTTCCTCACCTGATTCTGACACAGAGCCATCCGATACCTAATCCCTCCATCCCATTCCAGTCATGGACAGAGTGTATTCCTACCTTCAGAGTGGTGTGAGAGGGTGAGCAGGCTGACGCAGGACGCTCCTATCCCAGATCCGAACACTGTGATACGGTTGGAGTCTCCTCCGAAGTATCCAATGTTCTCACTGATCCACCTCAGAGCCTGGATCTGGTCCAGTAGGCCGTAGTTCCCCTTAGCTGCCTGGTCCCCTGTAGACAGGAACCCTGAAAAAGACAAAGAGGATACAGGGTTAGTCAATGATGTAATACTAACAGGGATGCAATTGTGTTTCCCAAAGGTAGGTTGAGGTTGATTCCTTTGGGGTCCCAGGTTAAGACTGGATGCCTGGTTGAGGTTGATTCCTTTGGGGTCCCAGGTTAAGACTGGATGCCTGGTTGAGGTTGATTCTTTTAGGGTCCCAGGTTAAGACTGGACGCCTGGTTGAGGTTGATTCCTTTAGGGTCCCAGGTTAAGACTGGATGCCTGGTTGAGGTTGATTCCTTTAGGGTCCCAGGTTAAGACTGGATGCCTGGTTGAGGTTGATTCCTTTAGAGTCCCAGGTTAAGACTGGACGCCTGGTTGAGGTTGATTCCTTTAGAGTCCCAGGTTAAGACTGGACGCTTGGTTGAGGTAGATTCCTTTAGAGTCCCAGGTTGTTTTAGTTGACTAGTTGGTTAGGTCAACTCCAAAAGCGTGAGGTCATCAAGCACAAAGAAAGGTTGGGAATCACTGGTTTCACAGTATGTTGTACCATTTGAAGTTTCAGGATAAAAGGGACTAAATTAACTGACATTACAGTGTTTCTACAAAGCCAAGGTAACTTGCTACAAAGCCAACATAACTTGCAAAGACCACAAATCCCCCTCCCCCATCCCTCCCCTCCATCCCTCCCCTCCATCTCTCCCCCCATCCCTGCCCCTCCATCTCTCCCACCCATCCTCCTTCCCTCTCCCCCAATCTCTCCCACCCCATCTCTCCCCACCCCCTCCTCTCCCCCTCCATCCCTCCCCTCCATCTCTCCCCTCCATCTCTCCCACCCATCCCTCCCCTCCATCTCTCCCACCCATCTCTCCCTTCCATCTCTCCCCTCCATCTCTCCCACCCATCCCTCCCCTCCATCTCTCCCACCCTTCTCTCCCTTCCATCTCTTCCATCCCCCATCTCCCCCCCCATCCCTCCCCCCCATCCCTCCCTCCACTCTCTCCCCGCCACTCCTCCCACCTACCCATCCGCTCCCCCCCTCTCCTCCCACGCCATCCTCTCCCCTCCCATCTCTCCCAACCCAGCTCTACCCTTCCCCATCTCCTCCTCCCCCCCCATCTCTCCCCCCCCTCCTCTCCCCTCCATCTCTCCCCTCCATCCTCCCTCTCCTCTCCCCTCTCTCCCCTCCATCTCTCCCTCTCCATCTCTCCCCCCATCTCTCCCCTCCACCTCTCCCCCCCCATCTCTCCCTCCATCTCTCCCCTCCATCTCTCCTCCTCCTCTCTCCCCTCCATCTCTCTCCTCTCTCCCTCCCATCTCTCCCCTCCTTCCATCTCTCCCACCCATCTTCTCCCACCCATCTCTCCCCCCCCATCTCTCCCCTCCATCTCTCCCCTCCATCTCTCCCCTCCATCTCTTCCCTCCATCTCTCCCCTCCATCTCTCCCACCCCATCTCTCCCACCCATTTCTTCCCCTCCATCTCTCCCCTCCATTCTTCCCCCCATCTCTCCCTCCCCTCCATCTCTCCCCTCCATCTCTCCCACCCATCCTCCCACCCCATCTCTCCCCTCCATTCTCTCTCCCTCCATTTCTCCCCTCCATCTCTCTCCTCCCATCCCTACCCTCCATCTCTCCACCCCATCCCTCCCCTCCACCCCTCTCAGCCCAAACTATCAAGCTCTCCGGCTCTCCAGTGAGATCCTGACTTATTGGAGTACATGATTGTTGGTCAAATAAAAGGGCTGTGTGACCACATGTCATCTCTACATTATGGGAAATCAATGTTGAGCCTCCCTGGACGGTCACATATCACCCTGTCTATCGACCCGCCGTGATGAGAACCATATGTATATATAAATGCTGTTCTGTTGTGACACTGAGAGAAAAGGCAGGGGAGATGGAAGCTAAGAGGCCCTGAATAATGTAGATGTACTAGAAATGTTCCCTCGTAAATCATGACCTCTTTAGTGTAGGCCTTTATTTCAACAAAAACAAAACTGCTTTTTGTACTTCATGTTTGAAATGTTGTGATGTTCAGAGATTTTACGACAGGATATAGAACATGAAGTAGAAATGATGAGTAGAAGTGTGAAATATATGCAGAAATATCCCCACTATGATGCTCATTGGAGTCATGGAAATAAATCCTTCAGCTATGGCTTGTACCTCGAGTGGAGAGTAACATGAAAACATAAGCTAAGGCAGTTAGTTGTTTTACAGGGCTGTACATGTTTCCAATGTACAGAACATGGACTAGATGGACTAGACATTTCCACTGTAATCCCATCTTCACATGATGGTGTGTGACATTGAGCCTCTCTTTGGGACATATCATGTTAACACTGAGTCACTATAACCACATCTCTAGGGCTCTGTCGAAAACATATGAGAGAGAGAGAAAGAGAGAGAGAGAGAGAGAGAAAGAGAGAGAGAGAGAGAGAGAGAGAGAGAGAGACGCACACACACACATGCGAACACACACCCACCCACGCATACACACACATGCGAACACACACACACATACATTCTATAACAGTGTCTCCAGGGCTCAGGCCCAGCTGTATGATGGGTAATAGAATGTTACATCATCTGATGTCCCAGAGGACCTCTCAATAGACTCAGTGTCCATCAACCCTCCTAAACATGTGCTGCATCCCAAATGGGACCCCATTCCCTATATAGTGCATTATGGGCACTGGTCAAAAGTATTGCACTATACAGTACCATTTGCAACGCACCCAGGGAATAACAGACAGGAAAAGGAAATTAAATGAATGCATTCATTGAGATATTGAGTTCACTGGCTGCCTCTATTTCTAAACAATCCAAATAAACAAAACATTAACATTTATAAAAGCACCCCTACATCTGATCTAGCTTATTGCAGTTGCGTGGGAATCATTCAATAATAAATTAAAGTTCTGTTGAAGGTGAAAAACGTAGACGCGTAGCCCTAAGCTTGAATAAAACAAAGTGATACTGTCTGGCAAGAGCAGTGTGCAGGTTTTCCTTTTCTTTAAAAACAAACAAAACGTATTAATATAGGCACCTTAATATAGGCACCTTAATATAGGCACCTTAATATAGGCACCTTAATATAGGCTCATTTTAGCAGTGGTAAAGGGGGTGTGGGTGTGGGGGGCAGGACCTCAGCAGAAGGCTATGGCAGGTTGAAGCGCTCAAAGTGAAGATTTATTTACAGCTCTTCTTTTTGATCTTTTTGATCCATATATCACAACATATCAGCAAATAGTTGTCGTACATTTATAAACTGGGTGGTTCGAGCCCTGAATGCTGATTGGCTGACAGCCGTGGTATATCACAGGTATGACAAAATATTTCTTATTACTGCTCTAGTTACTTTGGTGACCAGTTTATAATAGCAATAAGGCAGCTCGGCTAACGGCTGTATCCAGGCACTCCACGTTGCGTTGTGCATAAGAACAGCGCTTAGCCGTGGTATATTGGCCATATACCACAACCCCTCTTGCCTTGTTGCTTAAATATATAACCTACACCGGCAACAGCCAAAATAAAATAGCCTCTGTATTAGGCTTAACATATCCAATCTGAACCGGCAGGCCACAGGTAGCCAGCCTATGGGTTTTTAACAAACAAATAACCCCAAAAAACAATTAATGTGGCCGAACTGGCGGGAGTTTGGAGAGTCACACGTCTAGTGGGTCATCACCACAAACAGAATAACAGACAGGAAAATATGGATTTGATGGAATCAACTCCCTCAGATATTGAATACATTGGCTGGCACTAAATCAACTAAACACCATCAAATGGATACGATTTGGGGAAATGGTCAATTCCCCAAATTCTTCCTCAACATACAGTGCATTTGGAAAGTATTCAGACCCTTTCCCCTTTTCCACATTTTGTTAAGTTACAGCCTTATTCTAAAATGGATTACATTATTTTTTTCCCTCATCAATCTACACACAATACCAAAGCGAAAACAGGTTTTAATACATTTTTGCAAATGTATTAAAAATAAAGAACAGAAATATCTTATTTATATAAGTAATCAGAACCTTTGCTATGCGACTCGAAATTGAGATCAGGTGCATTCTGTTTCCATTGATCATCCTTGAGATGTTTCTACAACTTGATTGGAGTCCACCTGTGGTAAATTAAATTAATTGGACATGATTTGGAAAGGCACACAACTGTCTATATAAGGTCCCACAGTTGACAGTGCATGTCAGAGCAAAAACCAAGCCATGAGGTCGAAGGAATTCTCTGTAGAGCTCTGAGACAGGATTGTGTCAAGGCAAAGATCTGGGGCAGCATTGAAGGTCCCCAAAAACACAGTGGCCTCCATCATTCTTAAATGGAAGAAGTTTGGATCCACCAAGACTCTTCCTAGAGCTGCCCACCCGACCAAACTGAGCAATCGGAGGAGAAAGGCCTTGGTCAGGGAGGTGACCAAGAACCCAATGGTGACTCTGATAGAGCTCCAGAGTTCCTCTGTGGAGATGGGAGAACCTTCCAGAAGGACAACGATCTCTGCAGCACTCCACCAATCAGGCCTTTATGGTAGAGTGGCCAGACGGAAGCCACTCCTCAGTAAAAGGCACATGACAGCCCGCTTGGAGTTTGCCAAAAGGCACCTAAAGATTCTCTGGTCTGATGAAACCAAGATTTAACTCTTTGGCCTGAATGCCAAGCGTCACATCTGGAGGAAAACTGGCACCATCCCTACGGTGAAGCATGGTGGTGGCAGCATCATGCTGTGGGGATGTTTTTCAGTGGCAGAGACTGCGAGACTAGTCAGGATTGAGGGAAAGATGAACGGAGCAAAGTACAGAGAGATCCTTGATGAAAACCTGCTCCAGAGCGCTCAGGACCTCAGACTGGGGCGAAGGTTCACTTTCCAACAGGACAACGATCCTAAGAACACAGCCAAGACAATGCAGGAGTGGCTTCGGGACAAGTCTCTGAATGTCCTTGAGTGGCCCAGACAGAGCCCAGACATGAACCCGATCAAACATCTCTGGTGAGACCTGAAAATAGCTGTGCAGCGACGCTCCCCATCCAACCTGATAGAGCTTGAGAGGATCTGCAGAGAAGAATGGGAGAAACTCCCCAAATACAGGTGTGCCAAGCTTGTAGCATCATACCCAAGTATACTCGAGGCTGTAATCACTGCCAGAAGTGCTTCAACAAAGTACTGAGTAAAGAGTCTGAATACTTATGTAAATGTGATATTTCCGTTTTTATTTTATATAAATCAGCAACAAAAAAACAACAACTGTTTTTGCTTTGTCATTATGGGGTATTGTGTGTAGATTGATGAGGGAAAAAAACAATTTAATCAATTTTAGAATAAGGCTGTAACATAACAAAATGTGAAAAAAGTGAAGTGGTCTGAATACTTTACGAATGCACTGTGTGTCTACCTCTCCTTACACAGTTCATGGTCCAAGCTTCCAAACAGAAGACATGCTGGCCTGACTTATATGTCTCCAAGGATCAGCGGTGGACGGTGGATCTTGACATGAACAAGGCAATACCCCAGACAATCTCTAGTCAACGTACTCTACCAGACAATCTCTAGTCAACATACTCCACCAGACAATCTGTACTCAACATACTCCACCAGACAATCTGTACTCAACATACTCCACCAGACAAGGCTCTTCTCAACTCTGTGATTAAGGTCAGTGTGGCACAACAAATCTCTGCAGGCCGGATAAACCCTGATTAGAAAGCATCTGCTCAACATACTGTACTGTAGGCTTACATTAGCAGATCATAGAGAGGGAGCGTGTGTGTGGTGTGGAACCACAGAGGGGAAAGGGCATGGCATGGATCATGGATAGGGCTCAGCCACGTTAGGTGTCACAGTAAGCTAGACCGGAGTAACACACACACACACACACACACACACACACACACACACACACACACACACACACACACACACACACACACACACACACACACACACACACACACACACCAACAGATGG